AATTATATTTTGTTTAAAATGTTTTTTAAGTTATATATTTTTAATTTTACGCTACAAAACTTATCTAAAAAAATATAAGATTATGATCTGAAAAATATTTATTTATATATATATATATATATATAGAAAATCTAACAATGAGCAATATGCTGTGAAAATATTTAGCCCTTATAAGTTTGTAGCTAATCAAATGCATAAAAATGGGATGTGGAGTAGTTTTTGGTCATCTTTGGGCTTCGCTGTCATTTCAACAAATCATTGGGTAATGAAATGCAATTTACTCTTAAAAGAATTATATTCAGCCTTCCCAATGATTTATTTATATATCAGCATCTGAGCATAATACAACCATTTCACTGCAAGGAGGAAGAAACATTTACTGAAAAAATGTATACTTGTTGTACATCAACAAATGACAAACATCGGGGTTTTTTTTTTATCAATAAATTCTAATTATATAGGTAATGAGAATCAAAATGAAATAAAAGTTGAACAAATTTTAGTGAAACAGGCCAAATTTCAGACTGATTTGATCTGAAATCTATACAATACACAATCCTCAAATTTAGAGCAAGGTGCAAGAGGATGTATGTTCTACTAGGCAGTAGACAATAAAGAATAAATGCAGAGATAGAGCTGCATGAATGTTAAAAACAATGATATAATGCACAGTTTAAACCAAAAAATGACATGTATTGAAATAATAAAAGGTTACAAAGTATGCAGCTTGGATGAGACTGAGAAGCAGACAGAATCAACAGATGTCTTTTAAATCACTTAATTCTGATTTCTGATTAAGAAGGTACAGAATGAACATTAAAAGTTTTCCAAAGATTACCTTTTGTTTCTTTTTGTACTCTTCCCAGGTAATGGTGTGAGATGTGTTAAGGCTAGCCAAACGAGCAGCATGCCATTCTGGTGAATGAAATGAACCATCCACCTGCGCTTCGCTGTCATTTCAACAAATCATTGGGTAATGAAATGCAATTTACTCTTAAAAGAATTATATTCAGCCTTCCCAATGATTTATTTATATATCAGCACCTGAGCATAATACAACCATTTCACTGCAAGGAGGAAGAAACAGTTACTGAAAAAATGTATACTTGTTGTACATGGACAAATGACAAACATCGGGTTTTTTTTTATCAATAAATTCTAATTATATAGGAAATGAGAATCAAAATGAAATAAAAGTTGAACAAATTTTAGTGAAACAGGCCAAATTTCAGACTGATTTGATCTGAAATCTATACAATACACAATCCTCAAATTTAGAGCAAGGTGCAAGAGGATGTATGTTCTACTAGGCAGTAGACAATAAAGAATAAATGCAGAGATAGAGCTGCATGAATGTTAAAAACAATGATATAATGCACAGTTTAAACCAAAAAATGACATGTATTGAAATAATAAAAGGCACTACATTACTTAATCAAACTACACAAAAATAACAATTTGTATGGATTTAGACTAGTAATTTATTCCCCATTCCATGAGGAAAAGAAAAAAGACAGGACCTGTAACCAAAACCCCGAAACCAACACTGGAGGATGACAAGTTAAGGCAAGGGGCCTTTTGTCAAAAACAGAACAAAACAACGGATTTAAATAACCGGATATGCATGAACCAGCCATCTGTCACATGGCTAGAACTGTGACAATATAACATTATTGAATAAAGGCGTGTAAGACCAACATGATATCTGTTTGTCAGAGCAAGATTAACCTTGATGTCAATTACAGAATATTACGTTGAGTTGTTAGTGATGCAAAGCAAGTTTCTGGGATTGGCAAACCCGCAAGAAAACCAATTTCTAAACTGCGTTTTGCTAGCAGTTAACAAATTCCATGATTTCTTCACTTGCTCTATCAATTCAACTATAATTATATCTAGCTTTTAACTTGGTGACGATTATCTGCGATAGTAATTGTTAGATGTAATGATGCAAAATTTTAAAAATATTAAATAAATATGGAAGTAATTTATCAACCAATTAATAAAAACAAGTGGAGGATGCATGTTCAAAACTCAATACCACCTACCCATTGAATCATTGACCAATGTGTATGAGTTCTCCACAAACAAGTAACAGAATCCATTGACCTTGAAAGCAACCACTAAAGCACCACTTACACATAATGATGATTATCACTCGGCCAAAAATATATAATCAACAGGCACGTCCAAAAAATGATTATTAATCATTGCTTATGATTTTTTTTTTTAATGAATTATTGCATATGAATTATATCAAAGCGCAAATCATCTACGAATATAAATAAGTGCTGTAAAACATTTTCGCAAGATACATTCAATACTGCTAGTCATAACTATTGATGAAGAAATATTTCTGATTTATATTCAACAATTTAATTTCTTTTTAAATTCAATAAGTAACTAAAAATGATTGTTTAAGGTGGTAAAAGAATCACATTTTAAATGAAGATCGAAGTTCAAGCTTTTAAGAAAGTAATTAAAAAAAATACTATTATAACATATTGAAACTCCAATTTACACTTGTCTGTTAATGAAACTCACATAGATTCTATTAAGGGAACTACTATGGTACTCATAAAAATTAAAAAATTTTGGTACTGCAAATTATGTGAACAAATAATTTTTAAAAAATAAATTTAAAATAATATAAATTTTAGATTAAAAATTTTATAAAATGAATCAATAAAAAGATTAATTAAAAAATAATAATCAAAAGGTCAATTTTCATTACAAATGACAGAATTAAAAAATTAAAAATTAAAAATTATAATAATATTATAAAAATTAAAATAAAAAAATAATAAATAATACAACTGAAAAATTAATTTATATTATAAATTCAAAAAATTAACACCAAAGAAAAACTAAAACATATTAAAAGAAATATTAATATTAAACTATTTAATTATAATAGATGCTATATTAAGATAAAAATTAAAAAATATAAAAATAATATAAAGATATAAAAAAACTTTATAAAGATAAATTATTAAAAATAATAAATAAAAACAAGTAATTACAATTAAAAAAAAAATTAAACGACTGTACCGGTACCGTAAAATTTTCCTTCTATTAAATACGTGAATCTTATTCTTTTATAATATTTTATGCATTATTACTACTCTACTTAATACATAAATTTAATGATTTTCTTAAAAAGTGAATGTTGACTTAACTCAACACACAAAATTAACTTGTAAGCTTATATATATTTTTTATTTATCTTCTAATTAATAAGGAACTTGAGTTGAGTTTTTTTCTGATATGATATCCGAGCATATGTGAAATGCTCCCCACACAAATCAAGATTTTTCACTACAACGCTTTTTCTTTCTTTCTTTTAAGTGAAATGCAGATGTGTGGTGTTGAAATATGTATATAAATATATATTGCTCGCATGTTACCCGTGTGCATAAAAGAACACCAACACATCAATAAAATGATTGACTATAGATAAAACACTGACGCACTGTTGGCATTATGGAGTCATTAGATGAAACGGTATCTGCACAGTCGGAATAAAAATATCTTCAATTGGGTTGTTGACAGCAGAACTCCATTATTATGTTGCACTATCATAAGAAAGGCATAATGTGTGGTCCAAGTCTAACCAAGAAGACATAAAACCGTACCAACCAAACCATGGACTAAACTTTCCAGAATTGAACAAAATGGAAAAACCAAATTCCCTGCCATTTCTTTTAGTTAATGTTCTGCTTCTTCATGTCTCTAACTCCCTCACAGTCCCATCAAGAACGTCCATTCACGACACTTTCCTTCGCTGTTTCCAAAGCCACACCAACCAACCAGATCACGTTTCCAACATAGTCTATGCCCAAACCAACACATCCTACACCTCAGTTCTTCGAGCCTTCGTTAGAAATGCCAGGTTCAGCACCCCCTCAACTCAAAAGTTTCTTTCTTTTAAGTGAAATGCAGATGTGTGGTGTTGAAATATGTATATAAATATATATTGCTCGCATGTTACCCGTGTGCATAAAAGAACACCAACACATCAATAAAATGATTGACTATAGATAAAACACTGACGCACTGTTGGCATTATGGAGTCATTAGATGAAACGGTATCTGCACAGTCGGAATAAAAATATCTTCAATTGGGTTGTTGACAGCAGAACTCCATTATTATGTTGCACTATCATAAGAAAGGCATAATGTGTGGTCCAAGTCTAACCAAGAAGACATAAAACCGTACCAACCAAACCATGGACTAAACTTTCCAGAATTGAACAAAATGGAAAAACCAAATTCCCTGCCATTTCTTTTAGTTAATGTTCTGCTTCTTCATGTCTCTAACTCCCTCACAGTCCCATCAAGAACGTCCATTCACGACACTTTCCTTCGCTGTTTCCAAAGCCACACCAACCAACCAGATCACGTTTCCAACATAGTCTATGCCCAAACCAACACATCCTACACCTCAGTTCTTCGAGCCTTCGTTAGAAATGCCAGGTTCAGCACCCCCTCAACTCAAAAGCCATTACTCATTGTCACCCCTTTCAGTGAACACCAAGTACAAGCCACTGTGGTGTGCGCCAAAAGCATTGGCCTTCAACTCAAAATCAGGAGCGGGGGCCACGACTTTGAAGGTGTTTCATACGTCTCTCAGGTACCCTTTGTCATCCTTGACATGTTCAATTTTCAGAATGTCACTGTGGATGTGCAAAATGAGAGTGCTGTAATTCAAGCTGGTGCTAGTCTTGGACAAGTTTATTATAGAATTTGGGAGAAGAGTAAAGTTCATGGCTTTCCTGCAGGGGCTTGTCCCACTGTAGGAGTTGGTGGCCACTTGAGTGGAGGAGGGTATGGTAACATGATAAGAAAATATGGATTAACCATTGATCATGTTATTGATGCTAAAATTGTTGATGTCAAAGGTAGGATTCTTGACAAAGAGGCTATGGGGGAAGATCTTTTTTGGGCTATTAGAGGAGGGGGAGGAGCAAGTTTTGGAGTCATATTATCATACACAGTTAAACTTGTTAAAGTTCCAGAAAAGGTTACAGTTTTTCAAGTTGACAAGACTTTGGAGCAGAATGCCACTGATCTAGTTCTCCAGTGGCAACAAGTTGCACCACATACAGATGATAGGCTTTTCCTGAGGCTTGTTTTACAACCCTTGAATTCCAAGGTTCAGAAAACCATAAGAACCTCGGTTCAGGCTTTGTTTCTAGGAAGGGCTAATGAGGTTGTCACATTGTTGGGGAAGGAGTTTCCTTTGCTGGGGCTGAAGAGTGAACTTTGTCATGAAATGAAGTGGATTGATTCTGTGGTTTGGTGGGCTAATTATAACGATGGATCCTCACTCAATGCACTCCTTGACCGAAACCATTACTCAGTGCATTACAACAAAAGGAAATCTGATTATGTTCAGACCCCAATTTCCAAAGATGGGTTGAAGTGGATATGGAAAAAGATGATTGAGTTGGGAAAAGTTGAGCTAGTTTTCAACCCTTATGGAGGGAAAATGAATGAGGTCCCTTCTGATGCCACTCCATTTCCTCACCTTGTAGGGAATTTGTTTAAGATTCAGTACACTGTGAGTTGGCAGGAACAAGGATCTTCTGCTGAAAAAAGTTATTTGGGACAGATTAGAATGCTTCACAGTTACATGACCCCGTTTGTGTCAAAGAATCCAAGGAGTGCCTACTTCAATTACAGAGACCTTGATATTGGTGTCAATAGCCATGGCAAGGATAACTATGAAGATGGAAAAGTTTTTGGTGTCAAGTACTTCAATAAGAATTTTGAAAGGTTGGTGAAGGTTAAGACTGCAATTGATCCAGAAAACTTTTTCTGGAATGAACAGAGCATTCCAATACATCCAAGCAAGGCTTAAGGAACCTAACCGACATAGGACAAACTGATTAATTCATTTAGTTGACTTTGTTAATTACTTTAGTTTCTACGTGATTAGTTGAATTCTTATATCTTTGATATTGCGCTATGGAACTTGTGTATTTGGAGAAATTGTATCCTTGCAGACAAAGCTCCTTTCTTATTTCACTCATTTGGATTTTCACCTTATTCATTCGGATGGATGATTACAGTGCATGGGACTTGAAAAATCTTCTTCCTTCTTCTCTTATTCTCATCCAAAATGAAAGAAGACAACTAGACAAGTGATGCATGTTTTTTACGTTCCTCCATTATCAATACTAAAAATACAAAGCATATGTTCATGGACTAAGGCTGGTTTAAGGTGACAAAAATTTAAAAACTGTCTTTGAATTTGTCTGAGTTATAAATCATCCTTCAACCAAGAGTAAATTTTAGCACTTAGAGATTGATAAAATATTTCTTTATTACTAAGGTCAAGAGTTTGATCTTGTTTCATCTTGAGTTAAAGTTTGTGCTTCAGCACAAAGTAAATTTACGTATAAATTAAATATATTTTTAATTTCAGTAAATAGTATAATATTCATCATTAGTCCTTAAAAAATAAATAATCTTTTTTTTAATTCTTTCATTTACGAAAATGTGCTATATATAGTCTTTATTTCTATAAATGAAATCAATAAAAAAAAATTATATTGTAAGGAATAAAAACTATATCTGAAACATTTTCAGGAAAAAAAAATATTTTTTTGGAACTAAAAATAAGCACTATCTTAATTATAGGGAATAATAACATTATATTCAATAATTGCATATTTATTGTTCAAATTTGAAGCACAAAAACCTGTAACGCGAGAAATATAAGTCAATTCTATAATATTGTATTTTTGATATATAATGGCAGCAACAAGGTTAAAATGTATAACCTTGTGTATGCATATTAGTCAAATCTGCAGCACTAAATCAATTATAGTAGATTCTATAATGTAATATTTAAATCTTAGACAAATAGCAGGGTGGACTATTAACACTCTAATATGTTTATTTATACTTTTCTTTTCTATTTTTTTTTAATTTTATCCTTATTTAAATTTTTCCTTGAACGAAAGTTACAATTATGCTTATTCACATTTTTAAAAAAAAATTACCTTCGTTTAATTTAAAAATAAAAATATTTAAATTTATCACATTCAAATGTCTATTCACATATGTACCAAAAAAAAAAATGTCTATTCACATGATTTGGGTAAAATTTTATACGTCTGTTCAAGTTAAAATTTTAAATAAAAAAATGGTGTTATCTAGGCACCTCGCAATGTGTGCACTGTATCCCAAACAGTAAAGCGAACACAATCTTATTCAATTATGGGGATAAACAAGTTCATTTAGCATAAACTACACTTAATTAAGTTCATAGTTGGATTTTATTATTGGGCCTTGCAAAAGTCTTATTTTTCTAAACAGAAATGCCCGACAGTTCTGAACAAGATTTTGGCCCAAATATTGGAGATAAAAATAGAGGAAGGGATTAGTCTTGGCCCATAGATAGGACATTTTTCATTTGGAATATAACAAGACTATTTTACTGTCACTCGTTTCAGAACTCGTTTATATAAATGTCAAAAATAGTTTTGGATCAATAAAATTTTAGACAGTTGGAAAATAATTATGTCCTTAATTTCAAGCATGTTAACCAGAGTTCCAATTTTAGTTATTTTTAAAAAAGTCTTTATTAAAAAAATTAAAGCCCACTTTGATGATGTCTATGTAAGGAAATTGATATCTAGGTTTCAATTGAGGTATACTCTTAGTATACATGTTAAAAAAAATAACTTATTTAGTTTTTGAATTTGGAAAATTAAAAGTGTAAAACTAGTCAGCTAAAGTTTTCATACATAAAGTAAATTTTATTTTATATCAACCAAATGATTTTGTTTTATGAAAGACAATTTGTAATTATAGTATTTGAAAAATACTGACAGAACTTAAACATCTTCACATTTTATATAATAATACTAATAAAAAAACTTAACAAAATCCAATGAGGCAAGTACTCTTACTACCTAAAAGTCAAGCCCCAAATTTATTATTACTTCTTTGAGCACGAAAATCAAAGTCCAATCAGCACAAATTGGATTACGTGGGACTCTTATTTCTTCACATCAGATATGTGACAAAAAATTTCCAATTTATAAATCAACTCGATTGCTTGTTTTCTAGTCGTTGATTAGCACATAAAGTCATGTTTATGAATTGTTTCTCTGATATAAATTGTGCTCCATAGGGAGCTAGTTCATTATTGCTGGAGAATTTCCCTGTTTACGAAAACAAAAGCCGAGTTTCTAGCTATGAAAATAGAGTATCAACAGGGTATTTAAAAAACTTTATATATAATAACTTCTCTAAACACAAAGTTTTCTATATACATAAACTTATAATTAAACTTCTAACTACATATTTAAGGAATAAAATTAGTTGTCTTATCATGTCATATTAGTGGGTGTGTATTCAGTATTATACCAAATAAGTTAGATAATAAGACATGTTAAAGTAATTTATTGAATGAAAAGTGGAATTAATATAAAATAATAGAGTATTTGACCTAATTGCTCTATAAAAATTTATCCACTTCAAGCCTTTTCTAGGAACCTATAGTAATAAATTTTATAGACGCTAATGAGGCAGGATAGGCCAATTAATTACAACATGCAAACCTGCACCAACAAAGATAAGTACGTAGAGATGCGTCAATTATTTGAGTGAGGTTGGAATATTTTTATGAATCTTTAGTCCAATTATTTGAGCAAGGTAGGAATTAATATTTTTATCAGTCTTTAGTCTCAACTTGAATGCCTTATTTATTTTTTACCGAATTAAAAAAAAATAATCAAAATATAGGTAGGTTTATACAAATATCACTTGATTGACAATAACAGGAGATGGGGGTGGCAAAAAACACAAGTTCCATGTGCACCATTCCATAGTTCAAATTAATATCACTGAATAAGTCTCAAATCAGTGACTTCTTGTTACTGGTAGTTGATATTAACTCTTTCACCTTTCGGTGATTGAAATTGCATGAATGCATTCAAATCAAAGACTTACGTACTTATATTATTTATATATATATATAGCATACAGGCCCAACTGTTTTAGGTACAGAATGTCAAGTGTCGCACTTACTTTTGTAAGAGTTTCTTTGTCCTCTGCTTGATCGTCCAAACAGTTGCTGAGCAAGAGGTTTAACAACCATTGCATCATACAATTATTGCAAGATTAATTCAGATGCAATCACCAAAAGCAGGACCACTTATATACTCATGAAAAAAATATATCTCAACTGAATTATTAGGGGTATCAGCGGCATCCTCTAGCTTCTATATTTTACAAAGATCTCTTTATAGTCATGGATGTTTAAAATGAGTTTAATTTGATATATTAATTTGAAGTATTTCTATACGGAATTTTTTTTTCTTATACGGGTTAAAAATTGAGAATAAAAATAATTTATTTATACTTTTTTAATAATATTGTCTACGATAAAAAGAATAGTGACCAATCTCCTCCATTAATTCATTAAAATGTTTTTTCAAGATAAAATGATAATTATCTTATTTTTTTAATTTATAAATATAGTTCACGTAATATTCTAAAATTGATAATAAATGATTAATTTACATTTATAAAATATGATTTTTTATTTGGAACAAGTGAACAATACCTATATACCACAAACTTTATATTGGATTAAAATCTCACTTAAGATATTAATTTTGATGAAACTGATTAGCATGGTAGGTTTAAATTTAGCCACGTCATGCTATATTAATATTATCAGGTTGAGAAACCTCAGTTTACAAAATTTAAAGTAGTTGGATGTTATAAAAGGGTGGTGTTTACAGCTTTTGATTCATCTGAATATACTACACGCTATATTATTAGCAAGTTTTTTGTTTTTCTGTCTTGGTGCATTTTTGTTTTAATGAGTAATGAATTATGTGTAATATGATCTCTTTATTATAAATAATTAATGATTTATTTTCACACTGTTTAATGATTTTAAAAGCGATGCAAGCATGATATAAAATTTCCTATATAAAAAATCATTATATAAAATTTAATGGGAATTCATTAATATTAACAATATTATATTTTATACTTTCATTTAATTATGAATTATCATACAATTAAACATTATTGATTGACAATAGAAATTTGTTAAATTATCATCCATAAACATTATTGATAGGCAGTGGAAAATTCAAATTAATAATATATCAATGTTAATATTAGCAGTAGAATTATCATATAATCTTTAATCAGATTTTATTTATCTTTTAGTCAAATTAAATTAGTTTAAGATGATATCTTAAAACATTAGTATGAAAAAAAAAATGTATCAAAATCAAAATTCATTGTGTATGTACACCTACCATGCCATCACTTTTCTTTTCTAATGCATAGTTGCCAGAGTAGGCACAATAATTTGAGTGAATAATAAAAACACTCGATGGTCTTCATTAGAGTGTTGTTCGTTTGTGTACATTATTACGCGATGAAGATACCTTTCCATTAAAACTAATTAATAGTGTGTTTGGATGAAGAATTTTATAAATTCAAGGAATTTTAAATTCTTAATATTTGAATTATTTTGATTTCGATTTCTATCATTCTTAAAATATTTTGTTTGGATGAGTCAATTTAAATTTCTTAAATTTTAAATTGTTAGGTTGAATATCATAATTTGATTCTATCATAGTAAAATTGATTTTAAAAATATATTTATATGTTAAGATTTTTAAATTAAATTTTATAAAAATAAATATTAATCCATTTTTAAATATTTAATAATTTTAAAAATTAATATTAGATAATATTTAATAATTTTAAAAATTAATATAAAATAATATTTAATAATTTTAAAAATATTTTTGAATATCCAATAATTAAAAGAATGAAGAGATAAGATAAAACATATAGGTAAAATAAGAAAAATAAATATAAAGGATTTCAAATTCTCCCATTTTTGGGAGAATTTGAAATTCTACTATTTTAAGGAATTTCACAAATGCTTAGATTTCAAATTCTTTGTAAATTCCTCATTCAAACAAATCATTTCACCTCAAAAAATTTTAAATTCTTCAAATAAATGAATTACCCTATATAAATTCCTCGTCCAAACACAGACACACCGTAAGAGACGAAGATACCTCAGAAATGTGTTCTGCTGTCATTCAGTGTTCAAGGTATAATCATTAAACGGAGATTAAGATCGATAATAAAAATCACTTTTCTTTTTTGGACTAATCACATACATTTGACATATTGGATGATCAATTA